CCACGATCGCGGCGGGGGTTGGCGTGCTCCGTGCGGTGGCGCGCGAACGGCAGCTGTGAGGGGGCTGGAAGCGAGGAGGACTGATCCCAGACCCCCTCGAGTCATGGAAAAATCGAGATGGGAGGTTTTTCCGTATGTTCGGCCTCTGGGAGCCCCTGCCAGGCCTCGGGACCGTCAAAAAACGACGCAGGATGAAGAACCGGTCCCGGGGAAGGGGTCCAGACCTTTGGGGGTCGACGTCATGAAAAAATCATGACGTCGGGGGTCTGGGATTGGAGGATCAAGAAGGAGGAAAAGAACGCCCTTAGCTCTCACAAGGGAGTTGCACAGTGTGCAAGCGAAGCCCGCTGAACACCTCTTCGCTGAAGAATGTTTCCAAAACCAATGGTCGCGGGACGAATCGCAGCCGCGCGCGCAAGGATGGCAGTGCTCGCTCCCCGGGTGACTGCGCCCCACGTCGCACGGAGAAGGGGAAGGGTGAGGACCAGGAGGAGGAGGAGGAGGAGGACGCGGAGGAGGACGGGGAGGGGAGGCAGGAGGCAGAGGCGATGCGGAGAAGGGGGAGGAGGAGTTCTGGTGAGGTGGAGGGATGGCGAGGAGCTGCCCTCGAGGCCCGCCACTCTCTGGCTGGCCGTCGGCACGCGCCCGCTACCTCCCCGAGAGGGGTGGGTGGGCGCCCGCTCTGGCGCAGGGGCCCGTGGAGCCACGGGCGCTGGCGAGGAACACTGCGGCAGCCAGGCAAGAGCGAGGCATGCTCTCCCTCCTGTCTACGGCTCCTCCACCTCGCGGACGGCCAGCAGCGCCAGCTCCAGCTTGCTCACCCAGCTCTTCCCCTCCCTCCACCATACGTACATACATACATAATATATGGGGCGTTTCAAGAAAGCCTCGCCTTCTCGGCGGGAGGCGGCGGACGTGAAACGAAGCCGCCTCCGCCGGCGGAAGCCGGCTGAAGCTCGGCGGAAGGCGGTGGAAGTGAGACATGCGTCTCCAAGAGATGAGAGAGAGGGTTTCCGCAAACCGCTATGTGTATCTATATGTGTATACACATGTATGTGTTTATATATATATATATACACATATATAGATCTGCCGTACCACTACGAGAGGTCCTTCTCCTGCTCCTCGCGGCCCTGGTAGACGATGTGGCTGTCCAGCTGCTGCACGGGGCCCGTGTACGGCAGCCTGTTTTGGTAGGTAGGGATCACCACTCGAGTGAGTGGTGATCCCTACCAAAACGTCGGTTCCTGGAGATCCTCCTGCCCCGCTCGTAGACCTTGCGGTCGGGAGCATGTGCGTAGACGCTAGCGTGCCGCTCCTCCTGATCTTGTCCACGCTCTGGCGCAACACGATGTCCACCTGCCCGTCCCGAGGCGTAATCACGTCCCGAGCCTTACCGCAAAAAGAAGAGCGACACGCTATCAGCGTACAGGGCATTGCGGGACACCAGAGCCGCCGCCGAGACACGCTAGGCAAAAATTGCGGACCGTATCCTCCCAGCCACCCGCATCCTCTTCTCCTCCTCCTCTTCCTCCTCCTCCTCCTGCTATCCTCGTCCTATCCTCCTCCTTCCGCCCCAGCGTCGGCTGCTCTGGCAGCACAGAGGATGGTCCGAATGTCCGAATGTGTTTTTTCTGCCTGGGGCGGGTTCGTGAGGCACCCTGCTCTGCTGCCACGCTCGTGGCCTCGTTCTCTTTCTCCCTCTGGGTGCAAACTGCGGGAGATGAAACTCAGCGTCGGCGCTGGTGAATCCGCGATTGAACCAACGGCCCAATCTGGCCGACTCACGCCGACTCCGGTCTAATCTGGCTTTGCCCTGGGCCAAGCCTGACCTACACCCGCGCACTTGCCCCTCAAGCCTGGCCCAAGAGCTTGCACATCGCTCCCTCGAAGACCTCGCCTGTTTCCTTCCTGCCCGCCTCCGCTCCCTCTCCTCCGCCTCCAGGCCGGAGGCAGAGCACACGGACCGTCGGAGGTCTGCGTGGAGGCTGGGGCTGGGCCCCTGGTGCCCCCCCCTGGCGGCCGCCGAGAAGTCCGCGTGGACCTCGGCCCCCGCTCCTCCTTCCGCCGTGCAGTGGGGGGCCGTGCCGAGAGGCGCCCTGCTCGCCTCCGGGGGTGCCCCGGGTGCCTCTTTGGGTTTCGGCGGCTCTGCCATGGAGAGCGCAGCACTCCCGCACCGGCAGCCAGTGGGCGCCCCGGGGCCTCAGGGTTGGGCGTCTTGTGGGAGGACCCTCGTGGCCGAGCCCCTACTGCACCCGACCTTCACCCGGGCCCCTCCCCTCTGCCCCTGCCCACCCCCCCTCCCTCCCCCACCCTCGCGGGCCGCCGTCCCGTCGCGCCGTCTTCCGCCATGCATGTGACCCGGCCTCGCTCCCTCCCCATCCGCCCCCCCCCTCCAATCCGCTCCCCCCCCAGCCGCCCCGCCCGCCCCCCCCCCCCCCGGCCCGCAGTCCGTGGCCCGGCGGCTCGCCCGCCTCGTTCGGCGCGCCCAGGGCCTGCCAAGCGGCCCCGCCCTGCGGGCCAGCTGGTCTGCGCCACCTCGTCGTCCTTGACGTCCTCTGTCTCCCGGAGGTGGCAGGAATGGAGGAGGAGGAGGAGGAGGAGGAGGAGGAAGAGGAGGAGGAGGAGGAGAAGGAGGAAGGAGGAAGGAGGAAGGAGGAAGGAGGAAGGAGGAGCAGGAGGAGCAGGAGGAGCAGGAGGAGCAGGAGGAGCAGGAGGAGGAGGAGGAGGAGGAGGGCAAGCAAAATGGCTAGATGTCTCTTGGATGCCTCTCGGAGCCTCTTCGAATACCTCTGGGGCGCCCGTCTGGGCATCTCTTGGGGCTCTCTTGGGGCGCTCTTGGGAGCTTTAGGGGTGCTCTTGGGGCCATCTTGGAGGAGATCGATCGAAGACGGGCGGTTCCTTAATTGGCCTCCCCCTCGAGAGCCCCTAAAATCGCCTCCTGGACCCCTCTTGGAGCGAACTTGGAGCGCTCTTGGGGCCGTCTTGGGTCTCTCTTGGGCCTCTCTTAGGGCCCTCATGGGCCCTCTTGGAGCTGTCTTGAGGCCTCGGAAGTCCATCGGAAGCGAAAAAGGCGAGACGGCCAAATTCATTGATTGTCCTTAGGTTTTTGAAGGATTTGGGCATCTCGGCGGCCTCCTTGGGAGGCTCCGTGGCTACATGGAGCCGTTGGGGCGGTCTTGGGGCCTCTCGGAGCATCCTGGGAGCCATCTTGACGCGTTTTGCGCACTCTTGGGCCATCTTGGAGGTCATCTTGGGCTCTCTGAGGCCCTCTTGGAGCCATCCCGGGCCATCTTGGACGCTCCAACGCCTCGCGACCACCCCTCCAGGTCCAGGGGAGGGGGTAAGGGGGAGGGGTAAGCCATTCCCCGAAGGGGAAGGGGGAGGGGTGGACGAGGAAACGCTCTAAATCACCTACTCCCAGAGGACTGGTGGGATTAAGTACAATTTCTGAGGCAGGCGGATTCGTATGTTATTCCCTCGATGTCATTTTACCCGCCGAAGAAGCAGCATGGGATGTACGGATGGCGTGGCGTGCACCATCTTCGCCTCATGTTTTCACAACGATTGCATTGAGTATGCCAATGCGTCAACGGGGAGCGACGCGAAACGGTTTCCACGAGAAGCCCCAAGTTCCTTTGTCATCGCAACGGCAAGTGGGTAGGTCAAGATTGATTGGGAGGGCTGCTCAGTCAAATGGCGTGACGCACTGTGACCGTTCAGGGAGAGATCACGACGGTCCCCGTCCCCGACGACTATGCACTATGCGAGCATCATCTGTTCGCGCAGGCAAACATACCCTGGGGGCCAGGAACAATCGGCAAAGTCAGGTTTTCGATGTTCCCGCTTTAGTGCCACGAGGTTTTGGAAGAGTCATCGCAGGGCGAATCCAAGACCCCGAATGGGCGTGCCCCCAAATCGCTTATGCCCAAACACCTTTCTTGTCACGACGTACGCTGGAAAAGCCCATGCCAAGAAAACCCTGCTTGCTTCCAGGGTGCCCTGAATTTCTTGGGTTTTGTTGGTTCTGCCATGGAGAGCGTGACGTTCCCGTGCCAACAGCCAATGGACGTCCTTGGGTCTCATTGTTGAACTCAGCGATAACCTGCATCGCTGCCTCCAGGGCCTCCGCCGCGACCCCAGGGATCCCGTGGCATCCCTGGGCCGTGTAAATTTTGTTTTATCGGCGGGGGCCATCGAGGAGCATCCTGGATGATCGAGCAAAGAAAAAACACGCACGACATTGAAAAATGCACGGGGAATGGACGTCCGAGCGATGGCGAGATCCGTGATGTTGTTCCCGTGGATTTGTGTCGCTGGCCCGAGTGACCTGCGTCGTGGGTTCGGGGCCTTGTGCCCATGCCCGATCGAGTTCACGGGTGCCCTTCCCGACGCTGCCGCCGTGGGTCCACCTCAGGAGGTTCTGTGCCTAAAGAAGAGAGGTTCACGGTGCCCAACAATGTTAAGCCGTGCTCAACATGGTGCCCAAAGCGGTGCCTTACAAGGTTTTGGGATTTGTGCCGTGCCCAAAGTTTGTTTGGATGCGAGGAGGATCCGCGCCCTTTGCCCGCTTTTTGCATGTGGGGCACATTTTAGGGTACCGAGTTCTTCTCTGGGGTACTACATTGTTTTTTTTGGGCAGGGCACATCTTTGGACGCGCGGCCGGCCAGTTCTGGCATCCATTCCGGGCATACAGGCCCCGTTTTGGGCACGCAGTGGTCCATCCTGGGCACGTGTCCAGGCATCCAGACGTTGGATTGCGAGGATGCCGTATCGTTGCAGCGTTGTGGCGCGTCGTGATGGCGCCGTGTCGCAGCGGCTTCGCGTCGCAGAGATGAAGCCCGAGGGGCCCTGAGAGGGGGCCTTGAGGGTATTCGGCAAACGAGAAGTGGGGGTCAGGAAGGTATCGGGCAAACAAAAGAAGGGGCCACGCGGGCATTGGGCAAACCGGGAGGGCAATCGCGAAAAACACCGCGCGTGAGCAAACACAGTTTTGGCCATTCTTTGGGGCACATTTTGGGTACCGTGCGGGGCACCGTAACTGTCTTGGACCAGCCCCACGGTGAGAAGAGCCATGCGGCAGCGGAATCCTCCATGAGGCCGCCGAGAGGGGCTCACATGGATGACCCTGATGGATCTACGCCAAGACCTGGCGCAGCACGATCGGGAGCATCGACCACGAGGCGACTACGAATCTGCTCCAAAGTAACCAGTCGCCACACCCCATGCATGGTAATTTCGAGCGGCGTGGGTGCTCAATAGGCACAGCAGTGGCACACCTACGCGACCGATGGGAGCAAGTCATGTCGGAACGGGGGGGCTACGCATCACACCAACCATGTACATGACTATCATCCATGTGTCCGGCAGCGCCGTGCGGAGATCGCATCACCAGTTGCAGGATGCTCCCGCGAGGAAGGATCTGGAGTTTGTCGGTCACCAGATCGTTGTTGTGATGTTATATGTTTTGTACACCAGCAAACACAACACATCGTTCGAGGCACAACCATCGGACCGATCGGGCGAGTGCACGCCGAGCACGTGAAGTCAGACGTTTCCGTGCACATGGTGGTGTCACACCACGGCTGCGGGCAGATCGGTGCACCTGTGCTCCATGCGTCCGTGTTCGCCATTGTGCGGGGAGGCGCGTCAGCTCATACCAGATGCCTCCTCTTCCTGCAGTTAGGTGAGTCCCTTCTGGTCTCTCCGAGTTTCTCCCGTTCCCTGTCCACGCGCTGCTTTCGCAAGACCAGCCGCCGACCATCTGATTACGCCGATCCTGGCCAGGCTGACCTGGTCCCAAGAGCGGCGTGTTGGTCGGGAGGGCGCGTCCAATGACCAAGCGCTTCGCATGGACCGGGCCAGGACTGGTGCAGGTCGACAGCCAGCGTCTTCTAGCCAAGCAGCGGGGTGCGCAAGATGTGGCCCGCCGGGGCAAGGTTCGGATGCACATGCGGCCGCCTGTGCTCTGTCCCGCGCCTGGCCCTGCGTAAGCAGGCACACCGTCGCCCCGCACGCGTGCCCGTCGGGTGGCCTCCGCATAGTCTGCGTGGCCGTCTCAGCAGGCCTCGTCTGGATTATGGTTTTTACCATGGTCCATGTCCGTTTCGGTTACTGGCTGCACAAAAAAAGGTCCCTTCTGAAAAGCGCACGCAGACTCATAGACCAACCTCGCTTGCGTGCCGCACCACTCCGGCACGGGATGCACCGTTCACCCGATGTGAGGTGAAGCAGGCGGCCAAAGAGCGAGACCAACTAGATCTTCCGCGCCCAGCTCCCCGCTTCCGTTTCCAGTTGTTTGCAGAAGAACAGATGTATTCACATGATGTGTTGGAGGTCCGTGCGGACTTGTTGGATCCCGCGGCAGGCCTCGGTGCAGTCTCCCGATGCCGCTCCCCCTGTGCGCCACGAGCCTCTCCCCTGCGGAGCCGACGTGTCGATCGACGCGGCTCGCGAGTCTCCCGATGTTGGGTCCCTTGTGCGCCATGGACTTCTCCCCTGCGGAGCCGACGCGTCGTTCGACGCGGCCTGCGAACGAGTCGTTTTCCGGAGGTTCCCCGTGCCGTTTCTGCCGCCGCCCCCGCTTCCCCTCGCCGCGGAGAGCACGGTCATGCCAGTCCGCCTTCGCTCCCGCCGCGCCGAGTTCCGCCGCAGGGGCGCACGTCGGCCTCGACATCGCCGTCTCCAAGATTGAGGCGTCCCACAGGAAATTAGGGAGGGCGCGGGGGGGGAGGGGACGAGGGGGATGGGCCGTCCCAGAGGGGCTGAGGACTTGGGCGGTGTGGATGCCATGCCTGGGCCACGATCTCTCCCAAATTGCTTCTTACCTCAGTACGTCCCCTTGCCCACACCCTGGGGCCGCGCGCGTGCCGCGGGCCATGATCTGACAGCCCCCAGCATGGACGCCCCCCTCGTGGACGCCCCCGAAGAGGGGAATGGGTAAAGCTGGGCGCGCTCGCGCCATGCCTGACATCCATGGGCGCCCCCCCTCGTGGACGCTCCCGAAGGGGGGGGGACGGGTGAAGCTAGGCGCGCTCGCGCCACATCTCACATCCAACCCCTATCGCACCCCTCGTGGACGCTCCCGAAGGGGGGGACGGGTGAAGCTAGGCGCGCTCGCGCCACATCTCACATCCAACCCCATCGCACCCATCCCTGCCAGAGGCGCTGACGTCTGCTCCGTCCGCCGGCGCGCGCCACAGCGGGCCCCGGAGTTCGGAGAAGCAGGGCCCCAGCTATGCGCAGACGGAGAGGGGGAGTTGTGTGCACATTGGAGGACGAGGTGGCTGATGAGCAGGGGCTGGGAGGGGGAGAGGCATGGGGCGGAGGGGGGAGGGGCAGGGAGGGGCGGGGAGGGGGGGGGAGGTGCAGGGGCAGGGGCAATCAGGGGGGGGAGGGGCAGGGGCAGGGCACGCGTCGGAGTGGGAGGCCCAGCAAGTGGGGAGGCGGCAGGGGGAGGGGCCAGGCGGAATGAATGAGGGAGGCGAAGGCGAGGGCAAGCGAGAACGTGTAGTGGAAAAGGGGGACTGGGGAGGGGATGGGAGGCGCAGGGAGGGGACCGTCGTCGGCAGCATCACCACTGTCACAATGATCGTGGTCGTCGTCTTGATCATCATCATTACCATCACCATCATCATCATCATCATCATCATCATCATCATCATCATCATCATCATCATCATCATCATCATCATCATCATAATCATCATCATCATCATCAGCATCATCAGCAGCAGCATCCGCCTCAGCATCAGTATCATCATCACCACCATTACCATCATGTTCATCATGTTCATCGTCATCATCATCAGCATCAGCATCAGCATCAGCATCATCATCATCTTCATCCTCACCACCATCACCATCAGCAGCATCAGCATCAGCATCAGCATCAGCATCATCATCACCATCCTCATTTCCATCTGGGGCTGTCGGAGTTGGCTGCGGAGAACGCCGCCTCGTGTCGGCCGTGTGCGATGTCCCGGTTCAGCGCCAGCCGCAGGAGATGCGAGGCAGCTCGAGGCGTGACGGGACCTCCGCGAGGTGCCTTCGGCAGGTGCCTGCGAGCTGCGAAAGAGCAGCGGATGGCCCGCACGGCCGCACGAGTTAGGTCTGCTGCCGCACATCTCCTGTGCTCGTCCCACGGTATCAACCAATCTTTGCGTCCACGAGCTGCGCACGTCCGAGACGTTCAACAAGCCCGAAGTGCTCAAGAGTCTGGAGAGGTGCCTCGACGCGGCGCGGGCAGAGCAGACGACTGCGCTCTGTTGCTGGGCCGCCCCCAATGCTAGAAGCCGGCATGCCGCTTGGGCTCGGAAGACCCCTGGCAGAGGCGCCAAGAGTGCGGAAGCCTACGGTCAGCCCGTTCGATCGCCCAGTTTTCCGGAGCTGGAAGGAGCAGCAGTTCTTACGACAACCAGACAGGATGCGGCTCGCAAGATCTACCTGTTTCAGGAGAGGAAAAGACACAGACACTAGTAATCGTCGACTCCCAGGAACATATGAGGAAATATGAGAAGTGGGGGGAAAGACGAAAAACTCAGAACATCTAGGAAAATATGGGGAATCCTGTTATGTGTGTCTATTTCTTTGTGTGGCCCTGGGCCCCTTTACTTTTGTTTGTTCCATGCCGCCGGCTTTCCTGCGACGACGAGAAGTCTCATTCTGCGCAGCTGGCTCGCGCACTCACGCTGAGCCTTGAGGCATACGTCATGCGTGCCATTGAATGCCCTGCCTGCCAGGCTCCCTATATGCCCACGCCGCCACGCGGGACTGCCCGCCTCCTGCCGCCGCCTGCGCAGGCAGTTGACCGCGCCTCTCTCTGCAGGAGTTGCCGTGGCTTGCATCCTGGCTGCCGCTCCTGCCTTGGCCCGTGTCCGCAGGGGGCGCCGGGCGGCCCTCCCTTCCTCGTGCTCGTGGGCCGACGTCCGGTTCTCGGGTGACCAGCCAGCCACCGCTAGCGTTACGTCGGGCGTGTCCCCCTACAGGAGGAATATCCAAACATCGTCAAACAATAGTCCGGGCAGGATTTTTTGAATATTTGTGGATCATTTTTGAATATGGTTGGAATATGGTTTATGTTTCGTCGAGAATCGGCCTGCAAGCGGACGTGCCCGACTTAATCATAGGCCGAAGTCTGGTTTTAGGGTGGCCGGCCAGCCACCGCTAGCGGTCTGAGTTGCGGTTCGGAGCGTGGCGACGATGCATTCGAGCTAGATCAAGGGTGACCGCATTGCGCAGGTGTTGCGCAGCCGCTGAAGTGGCGGACAACCGCGACGAAAGTAGGGTGAACGAGTTGGCGTTGCAGCGCGTCTCTGGTGAGGCCTCTGGCGGCGTTGCGCGCTTGATCCCGCGCATGCGCACTCCAATCATCTTTCCCCCTCCACCCAAGGCGTCCGACGTTGTGGTCTTTTAACCACGTGCGCCTCTGTAGCTCTCGACCCCTTCTCTGGGGTCAAGTCTTCGTCCTGGCTCTGTGTTTCATTTTCCCAGGGCCTGACACGGACCTCCAGATGACAACACATTTAAGAATCTTTTTGTTTTTTCCCAAGCATCTTGTGGTGTTGGGTCCTCGTTTTGAAGAGACAGCGCCCCGCGTTCACTCCTCCCGCTGCCCCTTCCCTCCTCCTCTCATCATCTTCTTCATCATCATCATCATCATCAGCAGCAGCAGCATCATCATCGTCATCATCGTCATCATCGTCATCATCAGCATCGTTATCGTCATTATCAGTATCATAGTTATCATCGTCGTCATCATCATCGGCGTCTTCATCATCGGCATCATCGTCATCCTCACCATTGTCGCCATCATCATCGCCGTTATCGTCACCATCATCGACACCAGGGTCGGCACACCCCTCACACGCTTCGTGGCCCCATAGGGAGCTCCGCCAAAGGCCCAAGTGGCAGCGCCCGCATGCGGTACCACCCCCATTTCGGTACATCCCTCACACGCTTCGTGGCCCAATAAGGAGCTCCATCGAAGGCCTCAGTGGCAGCGCCCGCATGCGGTTACACCCTCCATATCGGCACACCCCTCACACGTTCCGTGGCCCTACAGGGAGCCCCACCGAAGGCCCCAGCGGCAGGGTCCGCATGCGGTTCCACCCCCATGTCGGCACACCCGTCACACGTTTCGTGGCCCCATAGGGAGCTCCACCGAAGGCCCCAGCGGCAGCGCCTGCATGCGGTTCCACCCCATTTCGGCACACCCTTCACACGCTTCGTTGCCCCATAGGGAGCTCCACCGAAGGCCCCAGCGGCAGGGTCCGCATGCGGTTCCACCCCAATGTCGGCACACCCGTCACGCTTCGTGGCCCCATAGGGAGCTCCACCGAAGGCCCCAGCGGCAGCGCCCGCATGTGGTCCCACCGCCCGGTTCGGGGCTTGAGGGCTTGAAGGGACGAGTGTCGGCGGCGAGCGAGGGGGGGGGAAGTGAGAAGGAGAAGGCCTTCTCAGGAGGCGGCGGGACCTCTCAGAAGCCTCGCGCCCTCTGAGAGGATGTCTGTGTCCTCGGGGAAGGCTCAGACAACCTCTCAGAAGGCCAGTGGACTCCCGAGTCTTCTGAGAAGCAGGGGTTACTAGAGGTGCCCCTGGCCCAAGGTGCCCAGCTTTTCGCTACATTTCGGAGCCCCTGGGGCCCTCTGGGGCTTGTGAGGGGTACTCTGGAGGCCGTGGGGGCCTCCTGGGGAATCCTGGGAGCACCCTGGGCCAGGGACACTTCTAGCAACACCCGAGACAAGGCCCTTTCCTTCTCACTTCCCCCCCTCGCTCGCCGCCAAGAGTGGGAGCGTGAGCAGCAGGCGGAGGAGCCGCCCGACGTCAGCGGAGGAGGAGGAGGAGGAGGAGGAGGAGGAGGAGGAAGAGGAGGAGGAGGAGGAGGAAGAGGAGGAGGAGGAGGAGGAGGAGGAGGAGAGGAGGAGGAGGAGGAGGAGCGGCGCCAGCGGAGGCCTCGGGGCGCGGCGTCTTCAGCCGCGGCGCCCTGCACCAGGGCGCGCTCGTGGAGGCGGCTCCCGCGGGGGGCTCGCCACCCCCCGGCCTGCAGCGGCTGCAAAAGGTTCGGGAGCCTTGAGAAGGGGGTCAGTGCAAACGGGGGGTCAGCCAGAGCGCCGGATCTTGCAGAATCCTGCAGGGACAGGGTCGCATTGACCCAGGCTTGGGCGCAGCATTTTGCAGGATCTTGCAGGATCATTCGCGTTGACCCGGCTTTGGGCGCAGGATCTTGCAGGAGTCTGCAAGGCCTGACTGACCTGGGTTTGGATTGACCCAGGTCAGAAGATCCTCGTAAGGTTGTTTGGCTCTTGCCAACGGTGGCATTGCTCGGGCGTGCGCGCGGTTCCGAAATTATCGAAGAAGAGAAATCGCAAGAAATATACATCGTTGGCGCTCCGCGCGGATTTCTTCAGCGGAGGCCTCGGGGCGCGGCGTCTTCAGCCGTGGCGCCCTGCGTTAGGGCGTGCTCGTGGAGGCGGCTCCCGCAGGGGCTCGCTCCCTTCTTGGCCTGTGGCGGCTTCAGAAGACTGCTTGACTTGTCAACGGTTCAGGCGATCGCAAACATGGATCAAGGGGGCGTGGATCAGCGAGGGGTTCCGTTTCCATGGGAAATCGCGGATCTCCATTGCCGAGCGAGGCGGCGCCAGCCGCAGTTTTGGGGAGGTGCGCGCCAAATCCATGCATCGCTAATCCATGTTTGAGCGCCCCCGAACGTTGGTATCGCTCGGACGTGCGCGCGGTTCCCGAAGAATCGAATAAGAAACAACGTAATAAACAACTCTCTCTATATATAGATATATAGATAGATAGATTGTTTGCGCTCCGCGCGGGTTTCTTCGCGCTGGGCCCACATGGCGGCGCCTCTGGCGCCGCCCCTGGCGCGCGGGGGGCGCCAGGGAGGAGGGTCCAGCGCAGATCCAAGAACTCCGCGCGGAGTGCCACAAGTTTTAGTTTCTGGCGTTTTGTTTTCTTCTTCAACATAAAACGTAATGACGTCCATAGTAAGGGCTTGACTCCTGAGTGCCGAGGCGAGAGACTTTTCGTTTAGAAATGATAGGGAAGTCCAGCGCGACTCCTTGGGAAAATGCCGGGAGGTCTCGGGCGAGAGCAAGCTGTGAGGAAGTATCCGGCGGGAGCCATTGTTGTTGTAAATTGAGGGGGCCAGGGACGTCGTCTGAGCTGCATTGCTTCCCCGAGCAAAGAAACAGGGTGCGAGCCCCAGGAGGGGCATTTCAATTGAAGAACACGTGTAGTCGGACTTGATTGGAGAGGAACCGCGAGAGGACAGAAGAACCTTCCGATGGCCACATTGCCATATGAGTGCAAGAAGGCATTGTAATCGCGAGGCAAAGGGCACAAGGGTACCCTTGATCTGGCAGGGTCGACCTGCTAATCAGGGCCGACTATATCTTACAGCACAGGAGCGCAGGGGGAGTCAACAACATCTATTCCATAGAAGAGAGAATTCAACAACGGCTTCCGCCTGAGACGTCCTCCAAATTTGTTCAAGATCCCCGCCACCGCTCCAGACCTCCCGGCAATTGACTGAAGAATCGCATTCTCGCTTCGGACGTCATTTCAGAGCCCCGAATCATCAGGGGTAACTCGGGTCAGGGATAACTCGGGTTCGTTTTTCGGGAATCCGAACCCGAGTTACCCCGGACCCGAGTTACCCCGGATATTTCGGGCGTCCAGAGCCCCGAATCATCAGGGGTAACTCGGGTCAGGGCTAACTCGGGTTCGTTTTTCGGGAACTCAAACCCGAGTTACCCCGGACCCGAGTTACCCCGGATAACTCGGGCGTCCAATCATTACAGTTCATTGAACACGCTTGACGGAGCGGCTACAGTTACAGCGGCTCCCTCCTGAGACTTCCTCACGATATGTTCAGGACCCCCGTTCACGACTGAGACCTCCTCGCAATTACTCATGAATCGCGCTCTTACCTGGGACTTCCCGCAATTTGCTCAGCATCCTTGATGGCCTGGCTACAACAACGGCGGCTCCCGCCTCAGATTTCCATGCAATTTATTCAGGACACCCGCTGCCGCCCGTGACCTCCTCGCAAGTTACTCAGGAATTGCACTGTCGCCTGGCACTTCCTGCAAGTATGTAAAGTCCTTGAGGCCCTGCCACAACAACAGCGGCTCCCTACTGATATTTTTTCGCGATTTACCCAGGATCCCCGCTCTCGCCAGAGTTCCTCTCCATTTACCCCGGAGTCGCACACTCGCCTGGGACTTATGCACAATTTGCTCAAAATTCTTGACTTCCCAGCGTCAACAGCGGCTCCCGCTTGAGACTTCCCGCGATGTATTCAGAATCCCCGCTCTCAACCGAGACGTTATTTCAATTTACTCAGGAATCATACTTTTGTCTGGGACTTCCTCACAACTTTTTTGAGGACCGACCACTGAAGGCTTGGCTACACCAACAACGGTTCCCGCCTGAGACTCACGCGAGAATGCGCATTCGTCACGCGCCCGTTTTTCCTCGGTAGGGCTTTAATCCGACAGTTGGAATGGAGCATCTCCCCTCCCAAAACGGGGGGGGCACATGCGAGAGATATGGAGAAACGCAAAACAATCAGATCAGCCTCTTAACCAGAATGGACGCGAGATACGTGTTCTTGGCTTGGAACTATCAAGTCTAAAAGTAAGTAGTGCTGCTCCATCCTCCGTTTCCCGTTCTATTCTTTCGGTGTTCTAATCGGATGCCCCTCCCCGGTCTCGCACCTTGTCTTTTACGATGGGAACGTCTTGAGGCTCAAACTGTATGGCTGGCCCCCCGAACTACGAGAACAACCGCTCCCGCCGGAGACCTCCCCAGAATATCTTTCAAAATCGCGCTCTCGCGCGGGGCTTCCTCACGATCTAATTGAGAATCGCGCTCTCGCGTGGGACGTCCTCGCAATGGATGAAAAAGCAGCGCCCCGAGCCATCAGGAACCACCCTATCGTTTCGAATTGCCTCACCGTTTCACCTAGGAGTCGCGCTATCGCCCGAGACTTTCTCGCGAGTCATGCGGGAATACTGCTTCAGCGACCCGCCCACTCGACCCCGCCGTCTGGGCCCGCCCGACCGACCCGCCCCGCCCCACCCGCCCGTCCAGTTATGTTGCTTGTTGTTCTGCTCCTAACCCCCCATCCTGCTTAACGCTGTCGGGCTCCATCCTTCCCTCTCCCCATTGTCCCTTCCCTCCTCCTTTGCCCTGTTTCAGGGGCTGCGCCAACTACACGTTTTAGGTAAGGAAGATGTGCCCCCCAGGGGGTATGGTCGAAAACGGAGTGTGTTGGTATCGAAGGTGACATTCATGCTGAATGGCACGCGGGCAGGCAAGAACGACCAGTCCTGAAATGGCTGTTGTTCTAGTTGGGGGGGGGCAATGCCTGACAATTGGAAGTGAGCCCGCTTCCGAGCGCGAGCCTCGCCTTCGACGGAAATCTATGCCGCGCTCGAGCGAGAGCGCCCCGTCAGTCTTCCGTGGATCAACCATTGACGCTTGTTCGGGCATGGGTATTGGTCTTCGGCGCCAGCAACAACGATGCTGACAGCGGGCTCCCGCACATCTGCCCTCAAGCCTTAAGCTGGGCATGTCCACCTACAGGAAGAGTGTCACAGCATAGTCCAGCAAACATGGGGACGATGTTTCTGTTATGTTTGACCATTTTGGCGTATGTAAGTTTGGTTACGTTTTATTTGTCCTCGAACATCCGCCTGTAGGAGGACATGCCCGACCTAGTTCAAGCTTCGTAAATTGCCCATGACCCTCCCCCCGGTGCTGAGATGCATCCAAGCGAAGTGGTTTCCCAACATTCGTTGTGATTTCCAGCCCAATCTTCCCGTCCTTTTCCCTCCTCCTTCCCCGTTGGCCATGGAGGAGTGGCCAGGGAGGGGCGGTGGGCCTTACTCTGTCTTGCCTGCCGTTGACATGAGCGTTGGAGGTGTGCCCTGTCCTAACGCTGCAGAAGGACGATGTGGCTCTGGGCAGCGAGGCGCTGAATTACTTCTTCCAGGCGGCCGCCTTGGAAGTGATTGCGTGTGGTGGAAGGGCAGTCAATTGACAATAGCAAGAATGGCTTGCCTTGGATTTTGTGGGCATTCGGCGCATGCGTCCGCAGCTCAGGTGCGGGCCTATTACCCAGCAAGGGTGGGAGCATAAACGGGCGCAGAGGAGGGATGAGAAGCAAGACGAGGACGAAGGGGTATTCCAGTTGTACCGGGCGTACATGTGACATTGATGCAGTGCGTGGTTTGATCAGGACTCTTTCATTTTTCGGGGCCGTGGGTATCCCAGAGTGGGCATAAGCGGCATAAATGAGTGCACGGTGACGCATCAGAAAAGTGGCAGTGCCATGCAGCTCGCGTGGTAATCAGGGCCCCGATGGCGACGTCCTTCTCTGCGTGCTTGGCTTCGGCATGATGTACAACCATGCCAGCGGGCGCCTCCGCTTGCTGCGCAAGCCCGTTGGCTTTCCACACCCAGTCTATGAGTAGTCCGGAGTGCGTCCTTTTGACGTAATCCTTTTTTCTCATCGGCACGCGGATTCTTGTGTAATGCATCAGCTCTCAATCATTATCGCACGATGCGCAGCATTGCTCAGTCTGCGCTTGCTGCTGCCGTGGAAGCCTCGGGGCTACATCCATGCCGATGTTTGCCCGTGCTCCCGCTTTCCCCCTTCGCTCCCCCCTCATCCTCGGCTCCCCCTTCCCCGGTCCGCCCTCTGCCCCCCTCGGAGGCCCCTGGACCCGACCAGCACCCAGGGCGGATGCCCCGCCACGGCGGGGAGCGGGGGTTGAATCTGCGTGCTCCGTCGGGAAGCAGATCATCGGAGCCTGGTATACGTCGACAAGCGTCGATTAGCGTCGATTTTGCGTCGACCTGCGTGGAGCAGCCTCTTACTTCCTTCTTCATTGTCGATCAGCGTCGATTCGCGTCTGGGAGTAGGTGAGACTGCGCCGCTCTAGTGTCGATTTAGTATCAATCGAGCGTCGAGATTTAGCGCCGATTCGGCGTCGAGTTGGCATCGATCAGCGTCGACCAGCGTCCATTCTCGTAGGAGCTGACAAGATGGCAGATTCTTATCCTCCTCCTCCTCCTCCTCCTCCTCCTCCTCCTCCTCCTCCTCCTCCTCCTCCTCCTCCTCCTCCTCCTCTTCCTCCCCCTCCTTCCCCTCCTCCCCCTCCTCCTCCCCCTCCTCGTCCTCCCCCTCCCCTCCTCCCCCTACTCCCCCTACTCCCTCTCCTCCGTAGCCATTTTGGCTCAAGATGCCAGGTTCCCGCGGGGATCGCACGGATACCGCTAGTCCGCGGCAGGCAAGAGCCCTTGTGCTCTGGCAGTCGGGCGCCACTCCTCCAGTCTCGCGCGCGCGATGGGGCGCGGCGGCGTGGGACAGGGGCGTGGAGGAGGTCGCCAAGATGGGCCCGTGGGATGGGTCTGCCAGGGCTGCAGCTACTACAACTTCGCCGAGCGCTGGTGCTGCCGCCACGGGTGCCAGAGTGGCAAGCCGTCGCAGAGGGTGCTGGGCAGCTTCGTTCCGCAAGCTGCTGCAGGTCGTGGCGGTGCTCCTGGCGCTGGTGGCGGTGGGCGTGGTGGGCGTGCCGCAGCAGGCGCGCCTACGACCCGTGCGCCATGGTGGCGTGGCGACGAAGGCGGAGGTGGAGATGGTGGTCAGCGTGCTGCGGGTGTGGTGCTTAGCGACGACGAGCGGCGCGAGCTGTTCAGCATGTCGGACGGGCAGTTCGCCATCGCGGCCAAGTTCCTCGGTGCGAAGGTCAGGAACGAGCTGCAGCAGGCCAGGCGCCTGGTGCAAGAGGGGTTGGGCGACGACCTGTCCAAGGACAAGGCCGTCAAGGCGGCCCAGCTCCAGGCTGATGAGAAGGCGCAGAAGGTCAAGCGGGCGGAGCACATGCCGGAGCAGGCCAAGGCGAAGGCGCGGGCGGCCATCAACGAGTCGGTGGTCCTCGCCGAGAAGCTGGTGCAGCTGCGGCGGGAGCAGGCGGAGGCAGCCGCCAAGGCGCGCGAGGCGCTGGCCACCCAAGGTGCCAGGATGGCGGAGGCTGAAGGAGCTGCTGAGTGGGCTGCTGCTGCGACCGCGGCCCCTGTGTCGTTGCACGTGGTCAAGGCGGCGCTCGAGGGCTGGGCCAAGTCCAGCGGCGTCGCGGCGAGCCCAGTGCTCAGCGACGAGTTCGTCAAGCTGTCGGAGGCGGTCGATCGGCTGTTCGAGTGGAAGAGCAAGATCGCAGGGGGTGGGCCTGGTGTGCCTGGCGCAGCGCTGCCGCTGCCTGCGGCGGCTGGGGCAGGTGCTGCCGCTGAGACTGGGGCAGCGGCAAGGCAGCCTGCTGGCGCCGAGCCTCAGCGCCCACTGGCTTCCCCTGAGGCGCAGCAGGTGTGGCAGGAGCTGGAGGAGCAGTTCGAGGACCCCGAGAAGAGGAAGGCGGCGGAGACCCTCATCAATGAGGCCAAGAAGATGCGCACGGGCGACGACGAGATGGGCGCAGGATCCTAGCACGGGGCTGGGCGTCTGGCGCATCTGCACATCAATGTCAATGCGTTCAGCAGCCTGGGCAAGTGCTTGATGGTGAAGGACGTGCAGGGCAACGACGCCGTCCTGGTGCAGGAGACCAGGTTGCTGGAGGCCAGGTGCGGGGATGCGGAAGCTCAGCTCCGCAGTCAAGGATGGCGGGCGAGGAGCTCGCCTGCGGTGAGAGCTGAGTCAGGCGGGCTCGGCACAGGGGGGGCTCATCATCATGGTGAGGCGGTGCCATGGGATGGCGGAGATCCAGGATCGCCAGGACGCGGAGGTCGTCGAGGGCAGTGTGCACGTGCACGGGGTGTCGGGCGTGTGCGACGGGGGCTTCCTGCTCGCCAACGTGTACCTGGAGGCTGGGGTGGGCCTCAATCTCGGCAACATGTCGAGCCTCAGGAAGCTGGCGAGGAGGCTGCGACAGAGCCGCAGGGAGTACGTCATCGGAGGGGATTGGAAACTCAGCGAGGAGGAGCTCCAGGCGGGCGGTGCGCTGGCCATGTTCGACGGGTCCGTGGTCAGGCCTGCTGGGTCCACCTGCGTGGCGTCGGGAAGGGTCATCGACTACTTCCTGGTGTCGCGGGGCTTGCTCGCGCGAGGTGCTCAGGTGGTCGCTGGTTCTCCAGTGTATCCGCATGCGCCTGTGTTCGTTGAGATCGCCAGGCAGTGCGTGGAGGGCGCCATGAGGGCGGCGCAGGGGCCACGGGCCTTTCCTGAGGTCAGGCCGCACGGCTGCTGCGCGAAGGACCACCACAGCAGCTGGCTGCGCCGGCGCTGGCAGCCGCAGAGGGCGAGCGCCCGACGGAGGGCGAGGCGGCCGCTGGTGAGAGGCCAAGAGAGAAGGGAAGGTGGTGGCCCCGAGGCGCTGCTCTGGGCATCCTCGAAAAACCACGGCTGGAGGAGGAGGCCAGCGGGCCGCGGTGCCCAGAGGAGAGGTGGTGGCCCCGAGGCGCTGCCGAAGGCATCCTCGAAAAACCACGGGAGGAGGAGGCGCGCGCTGGACACGCAGCAGGGGGGGCACCCACGCTGAGCGCCGCCGAGGGCCAGAAAGAGAGGCCGCGGGCGGGCGGCGAGGAGGCCGACAGGAGGCCAAACGAGGAGGGAAGGTGGTGGCCCCGAGGCGCAGCAGCAGGCATCATCGAAAAAACACGGGGGACGGAGGAGGCCAGCGTGTGGTCGTGCGCAGAGGGAAGGTGGTGGCCCCGAGGCGCTGTTGTTGGCATCATCGAAAAACCACAGGAGGCTGCGGCGCGCGCTGGCCCCGCTGGGGCGACGAGCACGCTGGGCGCCGCCGAGGCCCGAGGAGGTTGGCCGCAGGAGGGTGGCGCCGAGGCCAGCTGGAGGCCAGGTGACGAGGAAAGGTGGTGGCCCCGAGGCGCTGCCGATGGCATCCTCGCAAAACCACAGGCTGTTGACCAATCGCAGTGAGATGAGGGAAGATGGTGGCCCCGAGGCGCTGCCGTCGGCATCCTCGAAAAACCACAGGAGGACCCCAGGGTAGTCAGCACAGAGGAGAGAGTCGCCGCGAGGTGGGGCAGCCTCAGCAGCGCGCTGCCACCTCCGCCTGCGCTGGGCGTCGAGATCTCGGAGGGCAGCCTTGGCAGGTGCTGCGTGCAGCACGGAGCGGCGTGGCACGACGCGCTTCAGCGTTGCGGGATGCAGCGCGGGCTGGAGATGGCCGAGGAGGTGACGGCGCTAAAGGAGCAAGGTGTTTGCCCTGGCTCACCTCCCTATGCTGGGACTGGCAGTGCGCATCCGAGCCAGGCACCGTATGGAATCGCGGACAGTCCCTTTTCAGGTTGAAGTGGTTGAAGGAGCGTACGTGAGGCCCCCCAGCCTCTGGGGAGAGGGGGCCGCCCCCCTCCCGTCGAAGCCAGAAGGCGAGGACGTGGAAGTGCGGGCGGGAGTGAAGGGCGCTGACAAGGGTGAGGGAGCTGACGCCAAGTGCGCCCTCGCTGCTGCCTTCGCCACCTTCATGGAGTGCGCTGAGGAGGAATGGCTGGACGTGTACCAGCTTGAGGATCAGAGGGCCAGGTACGTCGGCAGGGCGCAGAGGTTCTCCACCAAGAATGTACGGCGCAGTGGGGTCCAGGAGCCGAGGGCCCCAAGGCACGCGCCCGAGGCGGCGTGGATGGCGAGGGTGGCCAGCGCGCCTGGGGCAGCGGCGAGCGTCCAGGCGCCTCGAGGCAGGGTTGACGCGCTCGACTTCCTGCCCAAGCTGGCAGAGCTGGTGCCGCAGAGGGTCAGGCAGTGGCAGGATCAGGCCGAGGCTGAGGAGCAGGGCTGCCACGGCAGTGTGCTGGAACGTAGGCACACCAGCACGGAGGCGGGCAGGTGGCTGCGCGTGCTGCAGCATGCGGGGCTAGCGCGATGGGATCCCGCAGCCCTGGCGCCCTTGGCCAGGCTAGCCAAGCTGCACGCTCACCAGCTGGCTATGCGGGACATCGACGAGCGCGGCAGGAAGTTTGACGAGTGGGTCGACAAGCAGCTGAAGGGAGAAGCAGGCGGGCTGCACGCGGTCACTCGGGTGGCCGTGGGCTGGCAGGGCAGCAACTGCAGCAGGGCTGGCGTCGGCTGGGCCAAGCGCCCTGTGCCAAGAGCTGGATGCCCTCGAGCAGGAGTGGGGCAAACTGTGGAGGGTGCAGTGCGCTCACGAGAACCTTACGTGGCCTTGCGACCTGGGCGTGGGGCCTGCCAGGCCGTCAGTTGAGGAAATGAGGGCGGTGCTGAGGACGTTCAGGCAGGGCACAGCAGCGGGCTTCGAGGCGGTCAAGCCGCGGCAGATGCTGGAGCTCAGCGACGAAGGCCTAGAGACGCTCATCGATGTCGTGATGGCCGTCGAGCAGGCGGCGGAGTGGCCGCAACTCCACAACAAGATCGTCTTCCTGGCCAAGAGGCTCGGGGGTGTGAGGCCG